TTTTTAAAGAAAGGGAAAACCAATTGAAACAAGTTTAATTGCAGCTAAAAACTTTGTTTTCTTTTGCTATGTAGGCTAATTTCACCAAGGTCGACAGCAATAGCAAGAAGCTGACACAGGTGTTGAAATGGGCGGGACCTTCAACACTAAAAAGTAATAACGACCCGGATCACTATGACGTGTTCAGTTACGTGTCAAAGTACGTATTATATTTAGATCCCCGGATGAATATCAAAATAATTTTCATTCGACGTCATGTTTGTCGCGCACAGCATTGGGTGGATAACCGAGCAAATAATACTTGGTCCGAAATCAAAGTGAGCTCACATAATGTTTCTTCTTATTACTGCTGAAATTGTGACGTAAGCTTTTCCAGCTTGGGCTCTGTTTTGTTTGCAAAGGTTGCTACACGAACAAACATGCTCTTCCAGCTTGATTTCGAACGAAAATATATGATGTTACATCCGGGACTGTAACCCATTAGATCTGAATAATGGTCCCCTTTCTAGTTGCTATACTTTTTCACCTAAGTAAACAAAAGATGAAAAGCACCCTCGAGCCGATGTATTTGTCCAATCCCATCGCCCCACTTTTTCCTGAATGATGTAAAGAGGGGAAGTTGCATTTGAAAAACCTTGATAGTGGTATTTTAAGTCTCTCGTGGGGTGTCAGACTCATCGTGAAAGGAGCAAACAGCATCGTATCCCCTTAAGGGTGAAAAATACTTATGGTTGTTTTACGAGGCATTACGTAAACGTTTCAAAAAGGCACGGGGGAAGGTTTTCTTAGAGAGAGACAGATACCAGCCTACAATGTAAGAAAAACTCTACAATTAACTCCTTTTTGCACAGAAGATCAGACAGATAAACAGAGTACAGACAGACAGACTGTTTAAACAGTTTTTTTTTCGTCACCAAAAGGACTCTATCATGGAGCGTCTAATTCCGGTAGAGAATTATATTGTTTTATGTAACTAAGCAATTGTCTCCCTAGACTTGTGATGAAATTTTGTGAATTGACCATCTTACCGCTTTCTTCTCTTTTTGCAGTGAAATAAAAAGCGGAGGTAAGATGCTCTTTGCTGACTTGTGTAATCAGCTGAAAGATGCCAAGCTAGATGAAAGGCGTCGTTTTAGAAATTTTCAAATGTTTTTGGGTCATAAAGGTTCCAAGGAAGGTAAGAAGAATAAAGGGTCATTAAATATATTCTTATATGTATATTTTTAGGTCTCGCCATTGCTAACCAGATCTGCTCCAAGGCAGGCGCAGGGAATGGTAACATCAACGCTGATGTTGGTCTTCAAACTGCACTTCACGTCGCACACGAGATAGGTCACAAGTAAGTGACGACGTTGCGTTGTTTGCATTTTTGCATTACGCGCGATGGCAGTATTTGTCTTTGTCTTGTACGCTCTCCTATATCAGATTTATTTATTTGTCGCAAATTGGCCCGGGAAAAATAACCACCCGGATCAAATTTTAGATTGGAATATTTTAATAATATCGCGACGAGGTTTGTCGGAAGTTTCGTGTGTCGTAACTTGAAGTTAAGGTAGCACAATTAGCTGATGTATGGACAGTTTTGTCGTTGCATGTTTGTTTGAATGAGGTAAGAAATGCTTGTACCTTACCATCACATGAGAATTAAAGGCTTACCTTTCTCTGTTGTCGCAGTCTTTACCTTGATCATGATGGCGATGTAGGGTGTCCGCAGCATCAATACATTATGGAAGCTGTTTTACCGAGTGGTATCTATGCAGCAACCTGGTCAAATTGTTCGCGGAGGGTCCTTCAGGAATTCTTAGGGTGAGTGCCTTCTTGTGGAAAATCAGTAAGCGTTTCATAAACTTATGAAACAACTGAATATTCTCAATCGTATCTTGATTAAAATGATCTACATACTTTAGTAAATGCTGCTCAAAATTTATTTTCCAATATAATCTGGAAAACGATTACCAATTATGACTTTTATGCCTTTTTACACGTACCATAGATATACTTTTTAGATTTATTTTAAATAGCATTTTACGTTATTACACTATATAATTATACCTTCTGTGATGTTAACACTCTAACGATAAGCTAGGAAACATTATGTGGTAGATTGGCTTTGTTTACTTTTACAGATCCAAATAATGAAAGTGTGGCATCTGTGAACTGCCCGCTAACATCTGCTAGGGTGATATCTTACCACTTTGTTCTTACTGTATTAACAGAGGCAGCAAGTCTTGGTGTTTAGATAACACACCCCTCGGCGATCTTCCAACCCTTAAACCTGAGTATCACGGCAAACTTCCCGGGGAAATCTTCGATGGAGACGCTCAGTGTGTCATGCAGTACGGCGCTGATTACGTATTGTCACCTCATCAAAAGGTGAGCTATGACTGAGAAAGGAAGTACCACAATGAATAGGTTCGGCGCGCAGCAAGCTATGGTTTACCTTATGCAGCTTTATCTTTGAACCAATGGGGAGCAAGTTGTTCTTGGATTTGAAATCGTTATGGCTACACTTAAAATATTGGATGGCGGATTTGGGAAATCAGTCATTCGTTTCACACAAGTCAGCCAAAGTATTTTCCACCATAGTGAGATTAGTTAAGCACCCAAGAAGAGATGGAAACTTTGAGATTACTGGTCTGCGGGGCCTACGCGTCTTAAATTAAGGAGAGCCCTTGCGAAATATGCAGTGAAGATGTCAGGCCATCAGACCTTCTCCTAAACAGATTAACATTTCGCTCGATTTAAACTCATCGCCCTTTCTTTCAAAATAATTTCTACTTTAAATTTTTTTTTCAGGGAGTATGCGATAAGTTATATTGCTTTAATCCCAAAAGTGGAGTGCAATTGAGTCGACTAGCACCGATAGCTGATGGGGCACCCTGTGCAGAACGCAAGGTAAGAGCAAGGATGGTTATCCTGCGATAATCTTATGAGCGCCCGTAGGCGTTTATTATGGCTATTTTCTTCTGCTACGAGCCAAACTTCCATGAATACCGTCACGAAAACACACCACGTACTTGTTATTAACATGTTTAAACGCTTTAGCACTTTCTGTTAACTTTAGAAAGAACTCCGTGAGAGTTTTGATTTAAGCAGAGGTAGTGAAACAAATTGCCGCGAGTATACAAAATAGCTGAACGGCATGAGTATACTTGCAATTTTGCTGTTCATGTCGTGAGTTAGGTCCTCAAACTTGAAATAAATTTTACCACTTAAAACCCTAAAACTGACCTTTATTGCGATGAAAAAGCTCCGAAAAAAATTTTAAATGTTTCCTACCCATGGAAACTTCAGAAACTTTCTGTCCAGCTTATAAGTTTACAGTGGTGAAGGAGTGGTGGAGGAATTCTGGTTACAGACTTCACGTTTTTCCCGTCCAAATTGAAATATTCTTCAAAAGCACTTTTATAGTTAGTGCCTTCTAACTAGTTTGATCTTGCACATCGCTATTTTACGTAAGTTTTCTCTACAATTTCTTCTCGGGTTTTCAGTACCATTACGTTCATACAGCGGGATATTAATTTGTCTTTGCTCTTCTGACCAGCGTTTCATTCGGCTTCCAGCGCTTTGATTGATTTCTCGCGATTTTTTTTCATTGTTTTCATGAGAATCAGCGATTTTATCACAAATTAAGAGCTAAGAATAAGTTTATCTTTATCTCTGACAAACTTCGCTCAGAATTATGTCATGGAGGCGACAAACAACACTCTCAATTATTTCCCCGGCGTAACAAGCCACGCG